GATATTCACAGGAGGCTGCGGCAGTGACGGATAAGAACCAGCAACATGACCCACCCAAGCCGAACTGCACCTGCTTCTGTAACAGAGTAAGCCTCACATATTTGGCTAACGCCTTTATTCCGCTGGGGAAGCGTTCACGATCGGCTTCCAACTTGTCGAACTCGTTTCGGGTACGTTCCATCCAGCAGTCATCGATATGTATACGATTGTAACCAGCTGCCAGGAATCCATCCTCAACTGAAAGGTAGTGACATCAGATTGACGAAATGTCAAGATAGGAAAATATGCGCGGAATTTGGTTTCAGAGGTATGCACTCGAAGGGCACTCAGAAGCGAGGCTGGGCTACCCCCTCCCCCATTTCCTCCTTGTCTGCGTCCTCCAGCCACGATAGTGTGCGTAATGTTGATTGCAGCCTAAGAGGGCGCAGACGAGCACAGAGCGGGCGGAGCTTAGTCTCAGGCATCGGTCCAGAACTTCTTCTTAAATGGGTAGGGCGGAGTTCATAGTCTACGCAATTCGTGAAGGCTAGATAGAGTGATAAAATTGGGCTCAGAGTTAAACGCTGGCATTCTAAAGGGGCAGGGAGAGGGCGCACCTGGCGCTAGATGCGACATATGTGTCCCCTCAACCAGGTAGTACTGCTGCACCTCGGGACGGAGTCGACGAAGGCAAGAAATCGACTCGTATCAAACCGTCGTCACGGATTTCGCGGTCGCGGTAACCGTGAGCAGTGCCTGAGTTGCATGCAGAAGGCGCGCGGTTGCGGTGCGGTTTTAATTGATGGATCGTCAAGTAACAGTCGTGGCTATGCGCTCACATTTGCGAACGCTGTCCAGAATGACGCTCTCACCAATTCTGTCAGCCATTTGACGAAATAGATCCTCACTGATGCAACGATCCGGATGCTTTCTGCAATTTATTTCACAAAGAAATGTCGCCCATGACATCCAGCCCATAGGTGGTGTTCTGAAGGAGAAACTGATACTATATGAAATTAGGCTAAATGGCGCTAAGAAAGTTCCGAGGGCAATGAGCGAGATCAGACCACACCATTTCCCTGCTCGTCTCGCTCGTCACCGCGGCAACCGCACTCGCAACACTATTCGCTATTGAGAGAAGGCAGGACGATCCAGAAGTGGTGCGACATGGGTCCCGTGCCTACTGATTTCCCTGTACTCACTTAGCCGTTTTCCTTCAACCAAAACTGTGAGCTTACCTGGGCCAGTCCATTATTAGCGGGAGAGTCGCCGTCCGAACGACGCTTAGAAGACACAAAAAGGGCGACATGCGGCCGTGTATGGTAGGCGCCTACTAAAAACCAACAGCTCGAACTGTTATTTTTAGGAATGAGGGCGTCTGCTCAACTTACTTGCTCGAGAACTCTTACTACCTCAAACTGCCTTCGTTGACTGCGCATTCACTGAATTGATGACGATTTCCACAAAAGTATGATTAAGATTAATCCGTTTGGCAGTGCTATTGCAAGGTAATTTAGATATGATCTCTGTCGGTGGGTTCTTCCTTTACATGAGAGCTTATTATCTCCTTTTTTCGGTGTGCTCCACTCTTTTCAGGATGCGCCATGCACGTCTACTCCATATGAAACTATGGTGGTATTCGAGCTGTTATTTGCCTTGTACATTACTGGCACGTGAGAGTGAAAATTGGAATTTCACTCCTTTCACAAGAGTGGCTTGTTCGCGAATCCACGAGCGCGAGGGGCCAATAAATTTGTATTTATTTTATATGATATGTCACTCAGTTATGCTATATATAGAACGCCTGAATCACTAAGCCATGCTAGGGGAATTGAATGGGCCAATGTAGCTCCGTCGCTGCGCGGGAAAAAAAAAAAAGGAATTTCGGTGAACTATTAGGGCCAAGGCAGCCCCGCGCGGAGGGGGGGAGAAGTTTCGCGAACTACGACCCCCGGAATTTCCTCTCCTGGTACGACTCCCTATCCTTTCCTCTTCTCTATCCCGCTACCATCTTTCTGACTTTTCCCCAAATTCTAGCATATTTTTCCTAGTTTTACGAGAAAAATTCGGTTTTTCCCTCTAAAGACTGCCGTCGACGGAGGGAGGAGGTGATATCACGCAAGGAAAAATTTTTCTCGAGCCAGGTGCAAGTCTCTCTCTCCCTCAGCGACGAGCAATTACGATCACCCATGAGAACTCCCAACGCAGTGGAGAGTAGGACAAAAAACTATTAAAAATTTCTCAGGTAAATTATGACCCCCTCCCCTTCTTCCCCGCTGGAGATCCGCAACGTTTCCTGTCCTATTCCCTACAATCCTCCGACGTGCACTGTCCCCTATAGTCGACAACAGCCGCCTCATCTTGATTGTTTCAGAAAAGAAGAAAAGCGGAAAGAGTACCAACAACCGTTGATGCTGCTAAGGAGGCGGGGCTTGTTATATGTAGGGTATCGTTAAGTCGCCTTGAGGTGAGAGGGGGGAGGGGGCGTAAAGGATCCCCTAAACTGCTTGGGCGAGTGGTTTTCCTGGTGTGTTCACCCATAACTATAGCGAATTTGTCGTGCCTTATCTTCCTATTTTTCTAAATGAATAATAATTTTTTAATAAATAATTTGCAATTAATTATTTAAAAATTGTTATTCATCCAGAAAAATTAGAAGAACAAGGCACAACAAATACAGTAATAATTAGGAATTTGTTGAACAAATCATATGAAAACAAAAAAGTCAATAGGAGTTTTTGAACAACCAATTATCTAGTTGTGGATGGACAAAGATCACTGTTAATAAGCGAAAACAAGATCAACTTCAGCTTATCGAGTAACTCCAAATAAAAAAATTAAAAAAGGCGACGACAAGAAATATGATTTATAATTAATCGATATGCCATCGATGATTTCCATGAGTGGAAAGGTCATAGATTACTAAACAAAAATTTAAAAAAGACAACGTACCAGGTGTAGTTCCCACCAGCTGGAACGATCAATAGCGCCGATGCTGCAGTTTTTCCAACCGGCGAGAGAATAGCGCGACAGCATTGGTTTCAACCATATATACCCGGAATACTAGGCCAAATTGATTGATTAGAATTCTTGAACTTTCTTTCACCGATGCGGCTGCATTCCAAACTTATGCCATCTGCTTCTACAACAAAGGAAAACTGAAATTGGAAGCAATATCTTAGACGGATTCAGGGGTTTAAGGAATCTTACACTAGGAAGGTCGTCAGGTCGAAGTGGCCATTTGTGATGAGATGTAGATCACTAGACGTGGTTTTGGACGCTGATCTTGAATCTGCCTTCAAAATTTGCAAAGCGATTCTCTGAACGGAGTTATGGAGCCGCGTTTACCACGCAACAGGTCATGGGATCGGATCCCTGCTGAGCTTAACTTTTTTGCTTGTTGCGCAAACGTGGCAAAAAGTGATTTTGCCGTCACTACTACTTCAGTTCTCACCTGAGCTTGTCTGAAGAAAAGTTTGCCTCCATTTATTACTGCGCTTGGACTCCTTGTAGAAGCACTGTAGTGCACTGTAGTCTACAAGGAGTCCAAGCGCAGTAATAAATGGAGGCAAACTTTTCTTCAGACAAGCTCAGGTGAGAACTGAAGTAGTAGTGACGGCAAAATCACTTTTTGCGCAACAAGCAAAGTTAAGCTCAGCAGGGATCCGATCCCATGACCTGTTGCGTGGTAAACGCGGCTCCATAACTCCGTTCAGAGAATCGCTTTGCAAATTTTGAAGGCAGATTCAAGATCAGCGTCCAAAACCACGTCTAGTGATCTACATCTCATCACAAATGGCCACTTCGACCTGACGACCTTCCCTAGTTAAGGAATCGGGGTTTAAGGACTAATGCAAGCTATATTGAATTTCGTAGCAGTGTTTCGAAATAGCACAAACACAATTGAAGATACATGAATTCCTTTTTTTTCCTCCGCCTGTTCCTTTGCGGACTGGCCCGCGAAAGCATGTGGGAGTGCAGTTGAAAGCCTACAGTGACCTATTGTGTTGCGCGTAAACCCAGACAGAATGCACGTGATTGCAGCCAACGGCATAAGTGACGCCAATATTCAAATGTCGAGGTGTGCAAGCCTTTTGAGACAGGGCACATCGTTGTTGGGAATCCCAACAGGGGAGTCGTATTTGGCCGCCAGGAGGGGGGGGGGAGGTCGCACCAACTCCCAGAAAAAGGGGTGGTTTTACGGACTCGACTAAAATCCCAACCAATGATGTGCCCTGGCTTGAGATCCTTGCCAGTAATCGGCGCAGTTTGTCGACGGGGGGCATTTTGCTTTCCATAGATGTGTCGACCCATCTAGGCAGCCGTTTCTCGAGTTGACACGTTTTAGGATAGTGGCTAGACGATCTTACTTCAGCTTCACAAGAGTTCACAAGTTTTACCAGAGTGAGATTTGTAAACCGGAACTAGGGAAGCAATGATAATACAAAATGCCCCCCCCCCCGTCGACAAACAGCGCCCCAGTAATCTATGTTTTGAGTATGAAGTTCGAAGTTGGGCCCTGTCGTGTTGACTCGATTATTTCGAACATCTAAGGACGATTCTCGATGGTTCAGGAATTTGAGAGAAAGATTTTCAGAAATTCTCACTCCAGAAGCATTTGTACCTATATACGACAGAGGAAAGGCGTAGGACGAGTTTTCCGAATTGTTTGGCTGCTGACCCTATGCTAGCAATCGAGCAGTTAGGGAAACTGTCCCACTGCTTTCAGCTGATTGCTTTCCGCCTGTCTTTCTTAAACATCTGACGGATTGAGTCAACTAACAAGGATAGGCAGGCTCGCGTGTGATGGAACCTCGGAGGTAGGGAACAGCATCCTGTGCACCCTCCCCCTCTCACAACGTTTGATTCGCACCTCATTCCTCCGACTCAGATGGAGTCACAGACTCTAAGGTAAGTGAATGTTTTACCAGGGCGACGGCCAGTAG